GTTCCGTTCCCGCAGGGGGGGCGCGTTGCGCGAGCTGTGGCCGAGACGTGGTGGAAGTCTTGGGGTCGCGAAACTCGGGGGTCAATATGAATTTATATGATTTTATATGAGCCTTCACCCCCCAAAAAAATGGAGAACATTCACCTGCGCCATCCTGCACCCAAACCATCGTCATGCGCCTAAATAGAAACTGTTGCTCCTTCTCATCCTTCTGGCTAAGCAGTGCTTTTTCAGCCTGAATCCTGGGCCACTCCCGAGCCTGCATCCGACATGCTCCAGATCTCCGCGCCGGTCACTGCTTGCAGTGGGCCGTGGGGTCGACGATCTTCGCTTGGAGTCGTCGCTGCTTAGGTCTTTATGGGTTGGGCCATAGGGGTCCTGGAGATCTTGGGTCTCATCGTCTTTGTGGGATACAGCATCACCTACTCCCTGCACATTGCCCACAAGCAGCTTGGAGTCGTTTGGATCACCGACCGGCAGATCTGCCTAGTCCCTCCCTTCGGGACCACCCAGTGGACCGGCGATACCGAGCCCGGTGTTGGAGAGAGCCCCTGCATTGGAGTCCACATCAGGGTGGACATGGGAGGCGCGGATGGACTGCTAACTGCTAACTCTCAACACCTCCATGAAATGTAGTGGATCGATCCACCAAAAGCTGCAATGAGACAAATCCTCTTCTCACATATGCCAATGATGACCAATGCCTCACCTTTGTCAAGTCGCAGCATGCGCATGCCACGTGTTCCTCGTGTTACTCGTCACGTGGTTCGTCACGTGTTACTCGGCTGCCGGTGGACGGGTCCGGTCCCTCGAGTCCCCAGAATTGCCATTCGGCGACCGGGAGACGAATCAAGTGGATGTTATATATCCTTCCTGCTACCAATGCTCATAGCGGATCGTCTTGATTATCTTGATTCAATGCTCTTTAGCATTGCTAGCATGGGAGAGGAAGGAGCATGGTAGCGGATCGTCTTGATAGCTATCATTCAGCTCTCCAATGCTCCATGCTCCAATGCGGATCGAGCGGATCGTCGACACATCTCCTTGGTTTCCACTCCCAATGACTGGACATGGACGTGGACGTGGAGTACGTGGGCTCCACTCATCTCAGTGGCCTTCCACTCCAATGAAGTCAGTTGCAGAACCCAGAGGGGTGAACCCCCACAGCATCCAAAAGCACTATATAAGATAGAACTGCACTCCCCGGAACTAACATGGAAGTGGACCACTCCCTGTTCTTGTCTTTGTTTCTTATGGCATCTCCCTTCCTTTTGGGGCCATGCCATCCACTTCGAGGCCTGGAACCCTGGAGTGCAATCCACTTCACGTCCCAGGTATCAGGAACACACCCTCACAGCCGCCTCTGCACAGCTGGGCAGTCTCTACGAGCGGCGCCGGGAGGCCGTGCTGCTTGGCCGAGACCGGCAGATCCCGAGGTGGAGATCAGGACGCAGGTCGAACATGGTGTTGCAACGCCGTAACGCCATGCGGAAAAGGGGGGTTAGATGAATAGTGTAACAGGGCATACAAACCGGAAGGGCACACATTACCGGTCCCGCGAGCTGCGACTCGCTGCTGCGGTAGATGTGACCCCTCCCTCCAGACACTGGTCTTGTGGAGAGGAACTAGGCGCGTTTGCCTTTGCAAAAGCTGAGTGTATTTGCACGCGACAGCCCGTGTTGAAACTCTCCGTCAAGACGGCTTCTCAGATGCATCTCGAGCAGATCCCATGAAGTACCACAACAGCCATGGACTCTCACCGCAGTGGGACTGTTCTTTCCACCAGTGGGTTAGTTGTTTCGCTGATGCTGTTTGAGAACATCGTTGCCTCCTTTGCTGCGACAGAGACTTGAGATGATCTATTGAAACTCTGAGGGCCTCGTGATGTCATTTCTTGCTTATAACAAAGGCAGACGCATAATTTCACTTGTGGCAAGAACCTCATATTCTGCACTTCAAGGGTTCTAGCATACTAGCCTGCCAAGCAACTTTCTTGGGCCTATCAGCCTATATATCTTGATCCTAGAGACGCCCCCGTGAAGGGGCCCAAACAGATGCATCCGCACTGAGGCTCTATGCCTTGAACTGCATGCATCTTGTCCTGAGCAGTGTGTCATCACGAGCTAACATTTCTCCACACCTCACCCAGTTGGACCAAAAACCATGTGCAACATTGTGCCACCGGCATGTGCATCATCCTCATCGCCACCTTTTCTGGCACCCTCCGATTACTGTATACGTTTGATATACCCTCCGACTCCAAAGTACCCTCCAATCCACGTGCGACGCGCTGCCATTTGACGTGAGGGGCGGTCGAAGCGGTCGCAAGCGGTCCAGGTCCAGCTCAATCCTGGGATCCGCGATCACCACACTGGGATCCAGCTTCTTCCTCTTCTTTTGCCAGCTGGTGATCTTCGTCAAGCCCCTGAAACTAAAAAAAAGTCAGGGAGGGATTGATGGATGGGTGCAGAGTGAGGGAGGTAGGAGGAGAAGTTCATGCAATGCTCATGTGCTGGCCAAGGCTTGGGAGGGCGCGAAGGTATGCCATGGCTGTGGGAATTTAGAATTAGATACCCCCCCATTGCCCATTAAAAAGTAGCAGCTACACGCTAAGACCATTTCCCAAACGTATCGCAGAACAAGCATGCTCCTCATCCAGCATTTCAGGTGTGTGTGTGTGTGCATCGTGTGTGTGGTGTGTCTTTGGGTGTTCGATCTCCAGTTACAGCACTTTTGGGAGCTTCGATGCTCACCAGTGGTGCAGAGTTACTGAGTATCCGCTAGAGAAATCCTCCTCATTGTGCAGGACCGGTCGTGTCACAACAAGGGCTTTTCGCAAGAAAAGACATGCAGGATGCAGGGTCCATTCACTGGAGACTTGTTGCGTTTCTTTGATATTCATATAGTGAGTTTCATAGTGTACAACGAGCTAACACTCATGCAAACTCGCCACAACCATGCCACAAGCACCACGTCTGTGGCGTGTCCTGAGGCTCGCCACCGTTCTTTCCTCTGTGCCTTGGGGCGCGCGGCGCGGAACGAACGAACGAACGCCCATGGCTCGTGCTCGGCGAGTCAGTCCAAGAGGTCTGTGGTGGGGACTCAGTGACTCAGTGGCCGGCCTGAGGCCCCCAAGAAGACTTCAAACCCCCCACTCAGTGTCCCCCAAAACCGGAGGTCCGGGTGTTGGAAGACTCCTTCCTGCGGGTCCTATGGTGTAACATGATGTAACTGGTATTATTCTACCTACCTACCACCAAGATGGTTTGGCCTTTTCCCAGGTGACCTTCTTTGCTTGCCTCTTCGCCACGGTGGCTTTCCCAGCAGCTCTCCTTTGTATCGGTCCAGTGGGCACCAGCTGTCAGCACCTCCTCCACCACCCCGACCTGCTGACGCATCCCCTGGATCCGCCACCGCCGGAGCCGCGGGGCCACGTCCGGACCCGGCGAAGCCCCAAGCCGGCCGCGGGGTCGCCGGAGCGGCAGATGTCCAAGCTGGCACGGAGCATCCCCTTAGAAGCTGGGCTCGGGATGGGAGGGGGTGTTTTTTTTTACATGCATTGATCGAGTTGGGGGCTTCAATGATTCTTTGATAGCTTAGGAGTCAGTGTTGCAACCTGGTTCAGCCTGGTTGGGTGTCCAATAGACTACCCTACACTGCTAGACACCCAGACAGAGACGGCGTCCAGGACGATGGCTTTTTTGTAGGGTGGCCACTTCACCCATCAAGGCATGGGGGTGGGCAGCATGGTATAACTATAGACGTGCCAGTTTTGGGGGTGCAACCAGCGTGCAGCATCACCCCTGAAGCCTGGATGCCTCCCAGCCTTTTGCAGTCTCAGGAAAACAGCACCACATCTGACATCTTCTTCGCGGCCCACGCCCAAGCCTCCCGCCCTGCCACGCGGCCGCGACCGGAGGGCCGTGCCAAAGTGCCACTTGGGCTGCAGTGGAGTCGGCCCTCGGGGCGACCTCACTGGTCACCGTTCGTCTGCCCAAACGCCCAGTTCGAACAGCTGAGCTCCCACCCTGAAGTCGGATCGAAGGATTTGGGGAATTCATCCACACACTGGGCATTGATCCGATGGTTTGTGACAGGGACCAGGGGGGGGGTCGGAGGCTCTCAGAGTTCAAGGCACGACGGGTTCGGCTGGTTCAGTGCTTGGAGCCCATTTTTAGCACCTATCCAGTGCTTCTGAGACAGCTCAACCAGCTCAACGAGCGCATTCTCGGCCCAGCACCGGAACTGTCGCGCTCCACTGTCCACTCGCCTCGCCCTTGTCAGGAGCAACTTGGATTCGATGGCCATCACGGTCTTGTGAGGCGATCAGTGTAGCAGATCTCCAGCAAAAGTCCGGAGCGATAGGACCTATCATGAACCTATTGGAGCTACATGTTGGAGGTCCAACAAATGTCCAAAAAACGCCTAAGTCGTGGGAACCAAGTCGTGGTTTTGGATTTTGGAGCTCGATGGTTCGTGATGTCCGTAGCTTAGAGGAATGCCTGGAGCAAAGTCCTTAGGCCACATTGGATGGAGAACTGTGAAATCTGAGGCTCTAGGTTAGGAAATTAGGCCATAGGCCCGTTTGATTTGTAGTTGGTGAATCAGGACAAGAACCCTCAAGCTCTTGGAGGTACGGTACGTGTTAGAGATATGCTAAGCCTTCATCTGGCACAAGGCATTGCTCCAGAACAAACTGCAGAGCGGGCATCCAACATGTGCAAAGCACAAGGGGTGCGAAAAGAGACCGCTCGTACTGTGCAGTCGCATGGAGAAACGTCGCTTTTTTGTTGGTTGGAAGCGTTCAGACCTCATGGCAGACCGGCAGACCTCATCAAGATGCTTTCACGGCCGAAACCACTTGCGCGACCAAGTCGGGGAGGCAATTCTTAGATTCACACCATCTGAAGTGTCAAATGGCTGCCGAACCCGCATCGATTCGTGCCGCATGGATCGATTCGCCCATCGATTCGGGCCGTCGACATGCCCTTCTAGTCTAGGCGGCTTCTCCACAGCCGGGTCCGGTGGCCAAAGGATGCCAAAGGCCAAGGGGATTGGATGGGCTTCAGTTGGAGTGGATGGAAGAAACAGTTGCAATTCGACAAACCAATGGTATTATATAATCAGTACTGGATTCTGGACGCTTTAATGGGCGATGTCCAACTTGCACCCCTGCCCATCAGAACACCTATAAAAGAGGACTTCAGATGCACAGTGCTCACATTCCACAAACAAATAGATGGCCAATCACATGATCTACCATGATTTGGTCCACTGTGGGTGGCGTACGGTTGGCATTTTTTGCTCGGAGGTCCTCACGGAAAAAAAGAAAACGCAACCCTTTTCGGGCGCCGAGCGGCCATTTTCAGTGCGCGTCCGGTCGTCCATGAGGCATGTAGCTCCTGGTGGTTTGAAAGAGTGCATGGTAGGAGTCACGCTAGGATATGACTAGTATATGTTGAACATACTATGCCTTATTTGATTTGAAGATCAACATTGTACTCCAAGAAGTCTGGCCCTTTTGAAGAAGGACCCCCCGCCTTGGACGGTCGCATCTTCATGCAGTTTCCATCAATTGTCGCCTGCAACAGAAGCCACTGAAAGAAGCTTTGATACCTGTTGATCTTGATGAACTGGATTTGGGGTTCCTTCTTTGGATTTCGGCTCTCCCCTCACAGGCCTCCTACCAGGATGTCGCGTGGCAGTGGGACACCTCCTCGGCCGCCGAGGTGCCGCTGCGCCGTCGAAGGCCACGTCGAAGGCCAAGGTGGGAGCTGAGTGGTTGCTGCTGGCACCCGGTGACCAGTGTTGGGAGGAGGTCCACGGTGTTGGGAGTTCCCAAGAAAGAGCTCAAAGAGGTTCAAAGCCCAGGTGTGAGTTGCCATGGAATTTAGCATGGGCCGCTTTTCTGGGGGGAATGTTTGAGTTGAACACCATTCTTTGAGGATCTTATCAAACTATGGTCAGGAGGTCATTTACGTGGGGTGAAGTGGTGGAATCTTGGCATAATATTTAGACTTAGAGGTCAATATAAGTATTGATTTTGCTCGAGTAATTGCATTGAAAGCTCAATCGCAGTCATGCAAGATGATTACGATGGTCCAGAGGTAACGCAAGGTTCCAAACAGGTTCTGCAAAGGATGCAAGCATTTACACCCATCGTCCTGCCCTCGACACAGTCAAGCAGAAAACCCGCGAGGTATCCCATAAAAACGCAACCTTCAACACCATACAATACCATACATCTTTCTTTGAGAAAGCTTGACCGACAAAAACTATTTCCTTGGAGCGACACTAGCATTTAACCACGACCAGGTTACCTTAACCACGACCAGTTTACTAGTCTCCCTGGGGTGCTGGTTCGGACGTTTGCCCTAATGCACCCGAGCAGTTTCCATGAGCACCTCCAATGGCTACCCGGCCCCGGCTCCCGCGCGCCGCTGGCACCGTGCTGCGGCGGCTCGGGCGGGAATCGCCTCTGCCTGCGCCGGACGAGTGGTTTGGCTGTTGGGGAGCCGCTGTGTGGCTCACTTGCAGCTGGAAAGAAGGGACGAGCAGAGTGTTCTTTAGTTGGAAGAACTGTTGGAAGATGCTGAGATAGCATACCGATAGGCCGATAGGTCATGAGATGTCATGAGTCATGCAAGCAAAAAGTGTTCAAGCAGGGTGGATGGTGTGGGACAGTATTTCTTCATGTCCTTCTCCTTTGATGTTCGTTGAAGCCAGCCAGGTGGAGCTGCTCTTGCCTTCCGGCGAGCTTCGCCAGAGACGTCTCCATCTCTCACTCAAGGCTGGTTCCCGGGCCGTGGCTGATCCTGGCCGCCCGGGGCATTTGCCACCTGGTGTGGGCACGTTCTACGACCAAAAAGCCGTCGAAGGCGTTTGGGGGGAAAGCAAGGATGCCTGCTTATGCTTGCTTTAAGGATTTTGGGATATTTGAGGCATCAGTCTGGATGGATCAATTGATTTCAATTGATGGACAACAGGAGGTTCACCCTGCTCACCCAGGTTCATAACTGTTCACCCTCTCTTTCGGTCGATGTGTTTGGACTCACCACCTACCTATGCCGGGCATCCGTGCTCGTCGGTTCCTCTCCTTGCTATGCCTTGCTCCATCCCTAAGGTACTTGCTTGAAAATGGGAGCTCTGCGATTTGGCACTGCAGTCCAGAGGGTGTGGCTGAATGTCTCACCTCTGAACCTCAAGGCAGGTGCTTTAGAGCCTCCTTGGGCTCGCGGTTCCTGTTCTGCGGCCGAAAGTTGCTGGTGACCGGGACGCCAAACCAGGGAGCTCATAGCCCTTGGCTCTTTGACTTAGCGGATCGGCTTCTTGGCAGGTTCGGCTGGCATGCACGGAGGATGGATTCCAAGGAATCAAAGGATATTTGCGAATAGGCAGGCGGACAGAAATAGAATGAAATAGATAGACATTTCAGACACTTACTCCAACACATGCATGTTGCCATTGCCCAATGCTGTACTGCATTGACTGTTCCAATAATTTGTCTCAGACCTCTTTGTTTAGAGAGCCCATCCACCCTCTGAGGACCTGGGTGCGATTGCCCGATGCACCGTATGCCATCCTCTCAAGCGCTGTCGTGGCCTCGCCGAGTGAGATTTGCATCCTGGGCGGCTGGAGCAAGATGCCGCTGGCTTTGGAGCGTGTTTTTTCTCCCTCTTTTTGTTGTTTTGGGGGGTGCCAGTTTGAAAGGGTCTTCCGCCTTGTTTGCTGAGACATGTCAATGTCACTGGGACTTTGTCTCAAACACTGTAAAGACTAAGACTCTGAACGTAGGTGACCAATGTGATTTCCAGACTCCCCAAAAAGAGATCACACAAAGAAATTGCAAGCCACATCAAGTCACAGCATGGTTGCAGCCTAGCATTGCCATTATGACCACTTAACTTATATATAATAGATTTGGATCGACTTAGATACACTTAGATCGACCCATAGGTGTCGAAGTCTGTGTTCGGTACACTGAAATCGTCCTGCTCTCATCTTTGACATTCCTGGAGAGGTCTAACCAAACTGAATCCCCAACTTAAGAAGCCACACCTAAGCTGCACCACCCAAAATCATCAAGCACCCCTGCTCGTGCCTCACGAGCCGAGTCTGGACCGAGTGTGGACCTTCCCAGCTGAGGCACAGCTGCCACGGATTCCTCCAACGTTTCTCGCTGAAGACAGGTACCTGGGAGGTCTCGTCTAGCAGCATCCCGTGGCGTCGCCCGGGCGCCGCCGCGGTTCAGACCGCGGGGAGCCATGACACGCTGGTGGCAGCCTTGGGGTGGATGGACGCTTCAGCTGATTTCGGGGTTCAGCCTGCAGGGAAGCGGGAGCTGACGAGTTTGCATAACGATTCATCTAGATTCCGATTCTGTCTTCATATTCAGCTTCTTCCCATCTTCCCACTGTATAGCACATAAGTTTTAACAAGATTCACCGAATGACCCAGGTCCCAGCTTTCTTCTCCCACCTTCTTACACCAAGGATAAGCCCTTAAGTTCCTCGTTTTGCCGCCCAAAACGCTCCGCACCAGCCCAGGAGTGCGACGGCACCGTGGGACACCGCGACTTCCGCCTGTTCCGGCGCAACGGCGGTGCCCAGCGGGACACGTGCTCCAGCTCGCGGCTGGTGGCGCTGGCGGCAGGCCAAGTGGAAGAGCTGGCGAGGCTGCCGCTGGCAGAGACTTGGGGCATGTGATTCGTGGGATGTGATGCAGGTGGTGTAGAATTCTGATATCAGCACTGATGGAATCACCGTGCAATACTGTAAGTAAGACGTCCTTCACTTCATCTACTCGTATCTTTGGGACCTTGGTGCAGTAAGAAACCTATCTTGAAGCAGGTTGCCGGAGTGTTTGAGTTTTCTACTTGACTTAGGACTCCTTCGAAAGCCTGGGTGAGCTCTTCCACATGGGCCATCACCTGGTGTGCATTGGTCGGGATCATGTGCCTTGGTCATGCCTGGACAAGCTGTGGCACACGGCGGGTGACGGTGGGTGGGGGACAGCAACGTGCTGCACCTCAGGGATGGGAAAGGCCCAAAGGCCTCAGCAACATCCGAATGATGAAACTAGGTGGCATCCCTGCAAAAGCCTCTCAGTCAGCTGGTGCTGGTGCTGTAGGCTGAGAGGAGGATGCCCCGCATTTTGTGCGGCCAAGGTGCAGATCTTTGACCAAAAAGAATGCTCATGGCAGACCTGGCCACTACCAGAGGACAGCTTTACGCGGTACCCGTGCCGTTTGCACACGATCGTTGATGCATCGTTGAGCTCCGGGCTCAAAGGGGTCTCATGGCCCCAAAACGGGGAAGGGGGGATCCGTCGAAGGCTTCTTCGTGTTCTTTGCGGCCCTTTTGATGATGCCTACAGGCGATTACAGGCGCTGGCCTAGGCTGGCGCTGACCTAGGGTGATCACAAAGTTCTTCAGATGGCGGACTGGTGGTTTTTGGTGATCAACATGGCTTGGCAGTCCAGAGTCCAGAGTTTAGTATGCTTGCATAGCAGTTTGGAATTCAATGACAACAAGAAGGTTGATCCCTCCTGAGCAGTACCAATCCACCAACCCAGCCCGCCTCGGACCATCTCGGACCTCCCCATCCCCCCCCAAAAAAGAACAAACAACACTCCAGCGAACACAACACGCACCACCCGCCACCCACGGCCGCGCGCCGCGCCACTGCCAGCCAGGAGCTCTCTCGTGATGAGAGCAACTCTTGGGTGAAGCACTGTGGCTCCTGGGCAGTGGCCTTCGTGACCGAGTACGCCGAGCTGACCGCTCCGAGAGCGCCGACCGGTCGATGAGTGCCGGTGAGGACAGAGGTCCGGAAGCTTCCGGAAAGGCCGGTCGTTCAGAGAGAAAGTGAAGCCATGCAACTGAACATGCTGAGTGACGGCGTTGCGGTGTGGAGCTGGGCGTTTCCGAGCCGCTCTCCCAGGAGTTTTGTAGATCCCCACTCTACAGGTAGATGATTTTCAGCAGCATCACGGTTTTATAGATGCGCAGTTGCACGCGCAGTGCCAATTTTCGAGCGCCTTTTTGGTTCCCAGTGATTTGGAGCACCTTTCTCTTCTACAGCAACGCCGGTAGAAACCAGTGCTTGGCCCCCCAAAGCCGCATAGAAACACCAATGAAAGGTGCTTTTCTGAGCTGATTCGGCTCAGCGGAAAGAACCGCCAGCTTGCCTCGGTGCTGTGTACAGATTCTGGCTTCCCACCGTGGAGTGGAGTGCTGCCTTTCCAGTGGAAGTCATGAAGAAAGCTCCAATTTTGGCCGAGGATTCGCAGTGGCCGGCTTGCAGCAAGTTGGGTCAAAGTAAGCTCTCATTCCACTTCTGTATGTAACATTATGTAACATGCTCTCTCTCTCTCTCGCTCGCTCTCTCTCTCTCTCTAACACTTATGACACACACACACACACACACGCATTTATAAAAAGATTAAAAAGATTGGAGGCTCCAACATCATTTTGCACCCTACGCCACCAGGCCACTGGAGCAGTCCCGGCGGCACCTGCCCGTCCGGGGGCCCCAGCTCCGAAGCCTTCAGGGGGGGTTGGAGAACTCCCAAACCTGACTGGAAGGAGATCCGCCGTTTTTTTGTAATACTCAGTTTTCTGGGTTCTATATATAGCGATCCCCACATAGGATCGTGGCACAGATTCCCACACACGTTCTATACCGTGGGGATCTTTGTACGAACTTCTATCTATGACAGGGGTTGAGGTGAAGAACTGGAACCCACAAAAAGGATGTGACATGGAACTAGACCCAATCCTGCCAGCAGCTTTATGAAGCTACTAGGGGCTCCTGGCATCGCTACTAGGAGCAAGGATAGTACTAGGGGCTCCTGGCCTTACTACTAGGAGCAAGGACGCTATGCGTATGTCATCATCGACTCCAAGTCGCGTTTCGACGAGAACCGGTCAGACCCTTGTTGGACCGCAGCTGTGAGGTGCCATGCCACCTCCCGCCTTGAGTGCCCAGGAGAGCGGGTGGTTCCGGGTGCACCAGACCTCCTTGTTTGAGGTGTTTGTAAGTGGTTGCTCATAGCCCTCAAAGAGGCCAATGGGGCCTCCATGAATCAATCCAACCAGGCGCCCTGGCTTGTTTCGGTCCGTCCGTGTCCTAATTAGTGAAATCCGTGCCAGAACGAGTGATGATGAATGTGTATGTCATTGACGAGCTTCTGTTTTCAACCTTGGGTGCTTCAATCGGAGATCACACATGTCCAGGAGCAGAAGAAGGCCGAAGAGCTCCTAAAGAGTTGGGAAGGCCGGGCCTGCCATGTAAACAGCTGGATACTATCCAGCTGAGCCTGGCAGCACTGAAAGTCTTCAAATCCATTCCAATCCATGAGCACTCATATGCCGGCGCTTGGGACATGCTGAGACATATACCCTTTTGGGGGCCATGCTTTCCAGCCACTTTTTTCCACCAAAAGCAGCCTGGATTTGGACGCCCTGTCCAGCTCCCAGGGCGTTTCGGGGACCTGGCCAAGACGGTGAAGGCGCGAATGCGCCATGCGCTTCGTCCGGATTCGTTCCTTCGTCCGGTTCCGGTTCCGACGCGCGCCTGTTGAGTTGGGCTTCTTTTTGGGGTGGACCGGGGGGGTGGACGTAGCCTTTTCTTTTCCATGTAGGCACCATGCACACAGAGACACCGGTTCCGGCACTTTTTTCAAATATCATGTTCTTCAACGGTCTTACCCTACACTTCCTACACCTTCGCATGTAGGGATGGGGGACTGGATGCTGAGTTGCCTGATGCTTGCTACTCACCAGGTGGTCTCTTCTTCGCCCCTCCTCAGCGAGCGCGACTTACCGCGCGGCGCGCGAACTCAGTGAGCGACCAGCAGGTGGCGGGCGACGCCGCCCTGGACCTCAACGAGGAGTACAGTTCCATGGCCGAGAAGGTCCAGGCGCCGAAGGGTGATGGTGAAGTCAATTTTCTGAGGAGTAAGATGGGTGCCGCTTCGGGTGACGGCGATGGACATGCCATTCAATTTGAATGTCTTAATACCAAAGAGTTAAGGAATGCTAAAGAGATTATTTTTGCTCGAACGTCGCAAAGCCATCAAAGCTATCTTCCAAAGCGTTCAATGATTGGTCCTCCCATCAGTTGCGTGATGTTTTTCATTTATGCTTTCTCCATTTGTCATCCGAAGGTCCTCAAAGGCGAGCATGAAGAGCTTTGGTTTGGGCCCAAGTCCAACGGGTGTGAGCACAGACTACCCAAAATGGATGTGTTCCAGTGAAGATGCACCCGTCTCAGAGTAGAAAGCCTGAAAGCGCGGACCTAAAAACCATTAGATGGACCTAGGACCAATATAGAAAAATGATCGATCTAGAAGACTGCATGCCTGATTTTGTATGAAAAGAACCCTAGGATGGCGTTCATTGGAGGACTTGGGTGTGTAGAAGTTCCAAGAATCACAAGGTTGAACTATTCTGGAATTTCTTTGGTCCTATTCCCTTTGCACCGGAGTGGGAGACCGGGTCGGAATCATCCGAGCGAAACCAAGCGGCTTCGCGGCTTCGCGGCTTCAGGCGAAAGCAAGAAGCGGCCGAGAATTCCATGCAGCTGATTTATGACCAGCAGGTCAGGGCATGGTCTGAAGTACCGCCCAAGCTCTCAGAACGGAGGGGTTCATCAGGAACGGACTTGAGAACTGCCCAGCTTCCACTGGTAGAGTTGGGCTGAGCATTGAATAAGACATAAGTGCCTTTCACTGAGGCACTAAGGCACTAATTAAGTATATAGGGACATGGCTGAAATTGAGTTGCCTAGCGACGGCCGCGCTTCCAAGTTGTTTGCAAGCAGTTGTGGTTTGCTTGGCGACTGCTCAATCCAACTTCTAGAAGAAACCAGAGACCCCCCCCCACATCGATGCAGAAACGCAACTGGGCAGGATTCGACTCTGGAAATTGCCTGGTGGAAAGGGAAGTTGCAATGGAGTTCTGGTTCGGCGTTGGTTGCATGGATTCGGAGCATGGATTCCCAGGGCCCCCCTTGAATGCTCAATTCGCAGGGGCTATTTCATGTCCGAAAGCCAGGAGTTGCTTTCAGAGCTGCTTGGACACCTGGAGATCGAGCTGGACTTGGGATCGCCTCTTGGGCCCTGCTTCAGTTGGGAACGCTGTTCACGCGGTGAAGCGAGCTGGAAGGGGGGTTGGAGTAGGGGAGGGGGGCGAGCGAGCGAGTGGGGACCGGGACTGAGGACTGCCAAGAAGTCAAGGAGCTCACTGAGGCGAAGAGCTGGGTGGCAGCTGCTTGTGAGCTGGGTGCTGGGGTGCGTCTCAGCAGAGTCAGAGGTGTGGTGATGTTGGAAGTGGTTTCTCTTGATGGCTTTTATGATGTCTTGGACTCCATGAGGTTTCATACAGATTCTGCTCTTTCTTACTGATGTTATTTCCAGGTGATGCATGATGCATGATGCTGTTCCGCAACAGTATGGCGGAGTTGGGAAGTGACGTATACAGTGGTTTGCACATTCCAAGGGTCCTTGGAACTTCCAAGAGTCCGATGCTAGTACCGTAGCTCGGGCGGAGGCGCCCGACCTCGATCCAGCGTGGGCGTGGCCGGAGCCGCTGCCCCGGCCCTCGTTGTTGAGCGTTTCCCACCATCGGCAGGTTAGAAGAGAGAGCTCGGAGCTTGAACATGCAGCTGGACGAGCTGACTGGGCAGGCTGGAGAGAACTAACTCGGAACTCGGAGGCTGAGCTGCGCAGATTGGTGACTGCAAGAGACCCCTGCCTTGGCAGACTGCTGCCTTGCATTGTAATCAACAGATCAGACAGTTCAACACGGCTTTTTCCGCAAGCACCTTCCAGCCCGGGTTGGACTGGGTGTTCATCAAGAAAACGAGGAACCTAGGTGTCACTACTTTTTGTAATTTTATTGAGTAGGTATAGGTTCAATGATTCAAGTTCAAGTAGCACAAGCAACATTTCCACATTCTTGCAAATCAACATCCACAGAAGTTTCTTTCCAACAAAGCTTTGGGCTTGGCCACCAAGACGAATAAACATTGGGGATGCTGCCGTGAAAATAACATGTAGGACCTCAGCCCCCCTTCAGCGCAAAAAAAGCAGCATGTTTTTTTAAATGCTGTTTGTGTTTGGAAGACCTGGACCTTGGTTCCAAAGAATCTATTTTAGAATGTGAGGCTGATGCTGGAGAAATTTTTATAGAGTAAAATCAGTCGTGATACAATGGCTTTGAACCCCAGCACTGGTTTATTTTGTTTTCATTATCTTGGATAGTCAGGTGTTCCTAGGTCATCAGCCATGAAGCTAATGTAGGAATACACAAGCATGTAATCAGGCGAAGGAATTTAGGGTTAACATAGCAAACCTCAAAGTAGCTAGTGTTTTCACTTTTTGATGTTGGACTCCAGCAAACCGTTTTGGAGTCAACTCAGGTGTCAAGCCGTCCGGCAGGATACGAACCTAGGTCAGAGACAAATCTTTTTTGGGTGGAGGTTGAAGATACACATATTTTTATTTTACTTGATTGCTGCATCCCCAAGCCAGCCCCACAAAAGCCACCCAGCCCAGCCAGAAAGCTTTAGAATAAGAACTGGTTAGCAGACTGAAAGAGGTATATGTTGCAGTCTAGTTCTAGGGTGAGTTTAGCGGTAGATTGTATTTTATTGCAATTGTTTTTCCATATTAGCAATTGTCTTTCTAATAAAAGCCACCCAAAACACAGACACAAGCACAGCACCCCACACAAGCCATGCCAGTGCTTCCCAACCCTACCCAGTGAAACCTCCATGAAGCATAGCATGAAAATAGAATGTGGGAAGGCATGGTCAGAGACTAGTCTTTTGTGGGTGGAGGTTGAAGATGTGCAGATTCTATTTTTTTTAATTGCTGCATGGCACCAAGCCAGCCCCCCACAAAAGCCACCCAGCCCAGCCAGAAAGCTTTAGAATAAGAATGGGTTAGCAGACTGAAAGAGGTATATGTTGTGGTTCTAGGGTGAGTTTAGCTTTGGATTGGCAGATTTCAGCTTCATTGCAATTGGGCATTTGGTGAACCGGCAGTCTTGGGCATTTGCGTTGAACAGACGTATCATAGGTCAAGATCAGGGTGGAGTGGGAGCCGACGTCTATCATAAGGATTTTTTGCCTTGGGGTTGCTCATTTTATGTTCATAAAGTTGCCTCCCTTGAGGTATTCTGATAGCTTAGTCAGATTTTAAAGTACCTTGGCTACCCCCTCATAATTACTTTATTTTTGGGGGTGCTGACGCCCCCGGTGGCCCGGAGCCCCAATAATAAACTTCCAACAGCAAACTATCTCCCCACACCTTTTGCAAGGTTCGGGAGCACAGTAGGGTGCTGTAAGCCCATTCTAGTCCACCACAAGTCCTAAAAAAAGGAGCGATTGGCAGTTCGAAGGGCTCCCAACAAGTCGATTCCAAGAGGTTCAACGGTCCGAGACTCGCGCCGCGCTGCGCCTTCGCGCGCGCCTTCAGGCCCGGAGGCTCACGGAGCTGATCGGTGCTCAGGCCGTCTGGGTGGAGGGTGGAGGGTGGGTGGACGCCTTTTTTTTCGTTTGGGATCTCGGATGACTTGGATGACTCGTCCTAGACTAGGCCAAGTAATGATATCTAAGCACCCAGACACAGCGGAAGCAGTGCCGTGGGCACAGTCCATGGTTCAAAGCCTACCTTGCCTACATGGGTTGGGATTTTTGTCCCCAGCTGCCTTCGGAGTTTCCGCAGGCCACGGACAAATCATGAAAAAACCATCAATACATGCAATATATAGGCAATAGGGTGCCCAAAGAGAGGGCATAGCAGAAATGCGTGCGTGTGGCAGAATCCAGCAGCTCGTGCCACCTTGCTTGGCACCAGCATGAGTTTGCGGCCAGGTTCAACTGGAGGTTGCACAGGAAAACCCTTGACCTTCGTGTCGCAGACCAGGATCACCAAACACAGTTAAACTTACTTGACGATCATTGGGTTTGAAAGATGGGATGTGTATATAAGTTTTGGAGTTGTGGCCTGAGCCCACTGGCTATAGGCGATGGCATGTTAAAACGATCCGGAGAGAAACCAGGTTACTTGTTCATAATTCATATCATGTCTAAGATACGCCCGTTTGCCGTAGAGGAAATGATAGGAAATGTCTTTCACCTCAGAGCAGTGTTTTGGGAGGACCCTCAATTATCTCAATTGCGCTTCGGGGCAGTACCACATATTGCTACCTTCCAGCAGGCAAAGTTGCAAAAAAAACATGTCATGGGTGGTTGTGTCACCCATCCTGCTTTTCAATTGCCCGAAATGCGCACTGCCGACCTCGTTCCAGGGGCCCTCCGACCCGATGGCACACATGGCGCATTTGCTCGCGGCCCATCAGAGCGAGCTGGACGCTGTTCAGGCGGGTCGGCCCGAACTCCTCCGCGGCGAAGACCAAGCGCAGTAGGGCCGTTCAGCGGCGGAGTACCAGGGCCAAGCGCCTACGTGGTTGAGTGGTTCTTGCGCCTGGCTCGGGGCTACAGCTACGTGTAGCCCAGAAACCCGACGCCCAGTGAGTTCAATGCCCTCCAGGAGCGCCTCAACGCCTCAGAGGAACAGCTCAAGGCTCAGGAGGCCGAGTGCTGAGGCTGAAAGCACGGTTGGTGTCATTCAGATACGCTGACGGGGTGAGAAATCGGACGGGCTGGCACGTTCAGCACACCACAGGCCCTGGCAGCTCACACTCACAATATCTTCAATATAGTTACTAGTAACTAGTAACAGTTACTTGCTGTATCTTGCTGTGGTTTGCTGGAGGATGTCTATTTTCAAAAAGACAGGAAAGGCATTGGGTTTGCAGAGTGGACCCCAAGAAGTTGCACAGGCATCAGGTTCTAGTACATAGATGGCATACCTGTTCATCATCATCATCATCATCATCATCATCATCATCATCATCATCATC